TGGTCTCCTCAGCCCGTGTGGCTAGGCAGGTTGAGGATGGTACAGTAGAGGGAAAACACCCTGGTCTCCTCAGCCCGTGTGGCTAGGCAGGTTGAGGATGGTACAGTAGAGGGAAAACACCCTGGTCTCCTCAGCCCGTGTGGCTAGGCAGGTTGAGGATGGTACAGTAGAGGGAAAACACCCTGGTCTCCTCAGCCCGTGTGGCTAGGCAGGTTGAGGATGGTACAGTAGAGGGAAAACACCCTGGTCTCCTCAGCCCGTGTGGCTAGGCAGGTTGAGGATGGTACAGTAGAGGGAAAACACCCTGGTCTCCTCAGCCCGTGTGGCTAGGCAGGTTGAGGATGGTACAGTAGAGGGAAACCACCCTGGTCTCCTCAGCCCGTGTGGCTAGGCAGGTTGAGGATGGTACAGTAGAGGGAAAACACCCTGGTCTCCTCAGCCCGTGTGGCTAGGCAGGTTGAGGATGGTACAGTAGAGGGAAAACACCCTGGTCTCCTCAGCCCGTGTGGCTAGGCAGGTTGAGGATGGTACAGTAGAGGGAAAACACCCTGGTCTCCTCAGCCCGTGTGGCTAGGCAGGTTGAGGATGGTACAGTAGAGGGAAAACACCCTGGTCTCCTCAGCCCGTGTGGCTAGGCAGGTTGAGGATGGTACAGTAGAGGGAAAACACCCTGGTCTCCTCAGCCCGTGTGGCTAGGCAGGTTGAGGATGGTACAGTAGAGGGAAAACACCCTGGTCTCCTCAGCCCGTGTGGCTAGGCAGGTTGAGGATGGTACAGTAGAGGGAAAAACACCCTGGTCTCCTCAGCCCGTGTGGCTAGGCAGGTTGAGGATGGTACAGTAGAGGGAAAACACCCTGGTCTCCTCAGCCCGTGTGGCTAGGCAGGTTGAGGATGGTACAGTAGAGGGAAAACACCCTGGTCTCCTCAGCCCGTGTGGCTAGGCAGGTTGAGGATGGTACAGTAGAGGGAAACCACCCTGGTCTCCTCAGCCCGTGTGGCTAGGCAGGTTGAGGATGGTACAGTAGAGGGAAAACACCCTGGTCTCCTCAGCCCGTGTGGCTAGGCAGGTTGAGGATGGTACAGTAGAGGGAAAACACCCTGGTCTCCTCAGCCCGTGTGGCTAGGCAGGTTGAGGATGGTACAGTAGAGGGAAAGACCAGCAGACACTCATATTTCCAATAATTGTTAATGTGACAGTGATTAGTAACCAGAGAGACAATCACCTCCCAAGAAGACTGGGACCAATCCCCTCAATGTCTGACTGGGACCACTCCCCTCAATGTCTGGCTGGGACCACTCCCCTCAATGTCTGACTGGGACCACTCCCCTCAATGTCTGACTGGGACCACTCCCCTGTGTTGATGGAGAGCTTTTGAAGCAAAGCACACATAAATGACCATACATGACTATACATGATCATACAAGCATACTGTACAGACACAGGCAGGCAGGGACACACAGACCCACCCCACATACCCATACCCACACAGACCCACCCCACATACCCAGACCCACACAGACCCACACAGACCCACACAGACCCACCCCACATACCCAGACCCACACAGACCCACACAGACCCACACAGACCCACACAGACCCACCCCACATACCCATACCCACACAGACCCACCCCACATACCCATACCCACACAGACCCACCCCACATACCCAGACCCCCACAGACCCACACAGACCCACACAGACCCACACAGACCCACACAGACCCACACAGACCCACCCCACATACCCATACCCACACAGACCCACACAGACCCACCCCACATACCCATACATTTACATTTACATTTTAGTCATTTAGCAGACGCTCTTAACCAGAGCGACTTACAGGAGCAATTAGGGTTAAGTGCCTTGCTCAAGGGCACATTAACGTCATTTAGCAGACGCTCTTAGCCAGAGCGACTCACAAATTGGTGCGTTCACCCTATAGCCAGTGGGATAACCACTTTACAATTTGGGGGGGGGGGGGGGGGGGGGGGGGGGGGGGGGGGGGGGGGGGGGGGGGGTTAGAAGGAATACTTTATCCTATCCCAGGTATTCCTTAAAGAGGTGGGGTTTCAAATGTCTCCGGAAGGTGGTGAGTGACTCCGCTGTCCTGGCGTCGTGAGGGAGCTTGTTCCACCATTGGGGTGCCAGAGCAGCGAACAGTTTTGACTGGGCTGAGCGGGAGCTGTGCTTCCGCAGAGGAAGGGGAGCCAGCAGGCCAGAGGTGGATGAACGCAATGTCCTCGTTTGGGTGTAGGGACTGATCAGAGCCTGAAGGTACAGAGGTGCCGTTCCCCTCACTGCTCCATAGGCAAGCACCATGGTCTTGTAGCGGATGCGAGCTTCAACTGGAAGCCAGTGGAGTGTGCGGAGGAGGGGGGTGACGTGAGAGAACTTGGGAAGGTTGAACACCAGACGGGCTGCGGCATTCTGGATGAGTTGTAGGGGTTTAATGGCACAGGCAGGGAGCCCAGCCAACAGCGAGTTGCAGTAGTCCAGACGGGAGATGACAAGTGCCTGGACCAGGACCTGCGCCGCTTCCTGTGTAAGGCAGGGTCGCACTCTCCGAATGTTGTAGAGCATGAACCTGCAGGAGCGGGTCACCGCCTTGATGTTGGCGGAGAACGACAGGGTGTTGTCCAGGGTCACGCCTAGGCTCTTCGCACTCTGGGAGGAGGACACAGCGGAGTTGTCAACCGTGATGGCGAGATCATGGAACGGGCAGTCCTTCCCCGGGAGGAAGAGCAGCTCCGTCTTGCCAGGGTTCAGCTTGAGGTGGTGATCCGTCATCCATACTGATATGTCTGCCAGACATGCAGAGATGCGATTCGCCACCTGGTTATCAGAAGGGGGAAAGGAGAAGATTAGTTGTGTATCGTCAGCGTAGCAATGATAGGAGAGACCATGTGCGGATATGACAGAGCCAAGTGACTTGGTGTATAGGGAGAAAAGGAGAGGGCCCAGAACCGATCCCTGGGGGACACCAGTGGTGAGAGCACGTGGTGCGGAGACAGCTTCCCGCCACGCCACTTGGTAGGAGCGACCGGTCAGGTAGGACGCAATCCAGGAGTGAGCCGCGCCGTACCCACACAGACCCACACAGACCCACACAGACCCACACAGACCCACACAGACCCGGACAGAAACAACAACAAAATGCATACGCTTCTACAAATACACATCCTTACATAGCACATACTTAAATACAATTGCCCTCTCCCACCACATATTTACACACATTTTCGGCTTTTCACAGATTACCTTCACATAAATAACTGATGCCAAGGTGACAGCATAATGGTTTTTGCAGGTAATGATTATGTAATTACATCTGTGTAGCTACAGCAACACACTACTTTACATTCACTACAATGTATTTCAGCAACACAGTTTTTTGACTCAGTTGACTTGCAGTTGATGGAGGTCGTGAACTAGTCATAGTAAAAGCTGTCTGCCAGTCAGTCAGTCAGTAATTTAGTAAAACATATAATTTAGATGGCACCTGAGTCTCATACCTCACATTTGTGAAAGAGACACAACCCAAAACCAGAAATAACACCCTCTATACTTGATGAACACCTAATGTTTTTTCCAACGCAAAGATTAACAGAGACATCAAATCGATGACTTCGTTGTTCAGAGATTGCATGGCAGTCTGCCTTTAAACATCTGTGTCCACTAATTGCTGTGCAGGCACCTCTAAGTCCAAACAGCAGTTACTAAATGTCTCTGACTACAAGGTAAAGTATTCTGGTGAAAGATATCCAGGAGGTCACTATTTGACTTCAACGTTAAAGTTGATTAAAGACCATAAGTACAATAAGCACATCAAATCTAATCAAATTGTATTACTAACCTTTCATTGTTACAATGTGTGATTAGCTAACTGCTATGATGGATGAATAGGACTGGAGCATTTATCAGAGCTGTCAGACAGACGTTTCGGCTCAACATGAAGGTAACTTTGCAGGGTTGTATGCATGCCTACCTACTGCACATAGCAGTCATCACACACGCACATGAACAGGCACAATTATCTGTTATTATTATTAATCATCAATTATCTCCACTGACGTGTTATTGTGCTCATCATGCTACGTAGTAGACAGGGTCGTTTCGTGGTTTTACATATAATATTTAGAGTATGTGTAGAATACATAGAATGTGTTTTGAGTATGTTTTGAGTGTATGTGGAATGTGTTGGATGTAATAAGTCTTGCATTGTAGAGTGTGGTTGATCGTTTTTGTACATGTAAGCAGTATTTTGGATACTTCATGATGATAAATCAAAATAAAATAGAAAATAATACCAGCTTTGACTAAAAGATTAACTTTTATTTCAGACCTTACAGAAGTTTATAGATACAGACACAAACGCATGTTGAAAACCCCCCCAAAAAATGCAATTCAGGTGAAAGATATTTACTGTGTCTATTGCTTGTTACCTAAATCTAGAAATAAATCGTTTAATACACAAAGCAAAACCTTGTATTAAACAACAGCCATGTTAGAGGAGGGGACACAACTGAGGGAGTTTCATCTGACAACTGAGGGACTCCCTAAAACGGATGCCATACAGGACATCTCATTCACTTCCAGTATATCTCATTTTATTGTATTATTATATTATTGTATGTATACTATATACTATATAGCTCATAGTATATCCAGACATATGCATGAGGCTATGAAAGGAACAGGGAAGACTAACACTCTGATGGGAATGAAACAAACATCCATGTTAGTGGAGGCCCCTGAGGGTCAGTGGGTCAGCTGGCCCTTGACCCCGATGTGTGAGGAGAAATTATCAATTCAAATCAAATCAAATTTTATTTGTCACAATCGCCGAATACAACAGGTGTAGTTAAGAAAACATTTACTAAATAAAGTAAAAAATAAATTAAAAAAATAACACAATAAAATAACAATAACGAGGCTATATGAAGAAGAGGATGATGATGATGATGATGATGATGATGAGGCCCCTCTCACTTCTTCTTCACCTCCTGCTCTATCTGCTCCACCTCGCTGGACTCATCCACCACCTTGCCGTTGATCATGGTCTGAGTCACCACCTTCACTATCTTCCTGGTCCGCACCTCTGGCTCCTCTGCAGGGAAACGAGAGGATGATGAAGAGGATGATGAAGAGGAAGAGGATGGGCTACCGAATGTCACAGGGTCACACTATTACTGCAACCCAACAGGCTCTGGTTTGTAACACGGCCTATGAACCTGCTAACTTGTTGCTGATATATCTACTGCTTATGAATGAGCAAAGAATAGCTTATAAATGTGCTAAGAATTCCTTTTGTACGTACACCCCAAATAAAGTGCTACCAAATTGATTCAGTGAGTAGTCACAAGCCTACAGTAACACTCCGTTACAACATTGAGACTTGTGGGATATTATTTTCACCTACTGCAGTTTCTAGGGACAGCGCTTTTTCGGGCGTTTGCTTTGTTTGCAGGTTTATGAAACTGCCATTAGTCTGTGGCCACGCCCCCTTTGATTTGATGCCAGGGCGTTGGAAGTAGCACAGAATCAAAGTTGTACATTTGATACTGACATAAGGCAATGCCGCTGACCCTATTTTAAACCTGTAGTGTAAATAGCTGTTGGGCAGTTGGCTTTCTCAGCGAGCCAATGGCCCGGAGTACTTCAACTTTACTCTATAAGTCACCTACAGTACCTACACATGCTAGCCTAGGGACGTTTCCTAGTGTAACCTCTTGGTGTAGGGTAAAGTTGCCCCTAGATGTTGATCTTGGGTCAGTTTTGTAGTTTCCCGACTAGGATTGGGGGAGGGGAAGTGGATACTAAATCTGAACCTAAGGGAAACTTCACCTTGGAGCGTAACCCACCTGGACTTGTGTTTAAACCAACACTATAATCACATCATCATTGTGTTACGACACAACAAAGCCTTGAGCCTGGTGAACATTCAGACCAATGAAAGGCTCGGTGAAAATGAGGGTGAAGGTTAGGGTGGGGATGAGAATGAAGGTGAGGGTAAAGGTGAGGGTGAGGATGAGGGTGAAGGTGAGGGTGAGGGTGGAGGTGAAGGGGTGGGTGAGGGTGAAGGTGAGGGTAAAGGTGAGGGTGAGGGTGAAGTTGAGGGTGAAGGTGAGGGTGGGGGTGAAAGTGAGGGTGAGGTTTAGATAAAGTGTGAAGATGAATATGAAGAGGTGATAAGATTAGGATAGGGTGAAAGTGAGGGTAGAGGTCAGGGTGAGGATGAGGGTGAGGGTGAAGTTGAAGGTAAGGGTGAAGGTGGGATGAGGGTGAAGATGGGGGTGAAGTTACGGGTGAAGGTGGGTGAAGAGTAAAGTGATACAGCAAGAGAAAGGGATAGAGAGTGGGAGAAGGTCAGAGGGAAGAGAGAAGGGAGGAAAGAAAGAAAGAAAGAAAGAAAGAAAGAAAGAAAGAAAGAAAGAAAGAAAGAAAGAAAGAAAGAAAGAAAGAAAGAAAGAAAGAAAGAAAGAAAGAAAGAAAAACGAAAGATGCATGGGTGACCAGGATGGGTCCATGCAGTCCATTTGAGAGGCTGAGGTGAATTGAGGTCTCTCTGTGTGAGAATGCAAATAACCTATTCATGAATGAATGGGGACTCTTATCACACGCCATGGATGTCACACTGATAAAGGAGCTTTCTCCATCCAGGTGAACGGTCACATCCACAATCAACCAATCAATGTGTTGCTGAGTAAGTAAGTGTTGATGTTCGCTTAGGTTAGCCTGTGTCAATGAGGAAGTGAGAGTGAAGTGAAGTTAATGTACTGATACTCACTTTTTGGTGATGGGACTTCATTAATCCTGTATGAATAACGGAAAAGGAATGTGCGAGTTAAAATGTGCCCAATGACTTCAACTGATACATGGAAATTGTCACTGTCAGAAGATGTTACCATGTATGGTCATCAATTGGCTGATTCTCAGGAAGAACAATTATCTGTTTGAATCATTTTAACAAAACACAATGTAGTCCTATCCTGGATATACTGTACAGTCCTAAGCACCCCTTATTTACATCTGACCATAGCATTATATCCAACAAAGACAGAGGAAGATAAGCGTTTCCAATGACATCATCAACCAATTAGTAGACAATTAGTAGGCAATTAGTGGGCAATGCCTACTCATAATTGGTTAAAATCACACGATGCACACTGATGATGTCATTGGAAACACTTATCTTCCTCTATCTTTTTCTCTACAAAACATAGAAACGCGCCATTTTCACATATGTTGATGTTGTGGTGGTGCTGGAGATGATGAATATGAAGTTGAACATTTTTGAAATGTCCCTTTAAATGTTCACATAAAGATTAGCATCATGGTTACTCACGTCTCCTCTCCCTCCAGCAGTCTCCTGTAGGTGGCGATCTCTATCTCCAGGTTCTGCTTGATGCGGAGCAGCTGTTCATAGTCCATCTTGTTGCGCTGCAATACAATACAATACAATACAACTTTATTAGTCCATTTGTTACAAAAAACAACAGAAACATGGGGCCTCCTGAGTGGCGCAGTGCCAGCTGTGCCACTAGAGATCCTGGTTAGAGTCCAGGCTCTTTCGCAGCCGGCCGCGACTGGGAGACCCATGGGGTGGCGCACAATTGGCCCAGCGCCGTCCAGGGTAGGGGAGGGTTTGGCCGGCAGGGATGTTCTTGTCCCATCGTGCACTAGCAACTCCTGTGGCGGGCCGGGCACAGTGCACGCTGACTCGGTCGCCAGGTGTACGGCTGGCTTCCGGGTTAAGCGGGCACTGTGTCAAGAAGCAGTGCGGCTCGGTTGGGTTGTGTTTCGGAGGACGCATGACTCTCGACCTTCGCCTCTCCCGTGTCCGTACGGGAGTTGCAGCAATGGGACAAGATTGTAACTAGCAATTGGATACCATGAAATTGGGGAGAAAAAGGGGGTGAAATACCAACAAACAATAAACGGAAATATATATACAGCTCCACCTCCTTAGCCCCAGTAAGTACCTGCATGTCCAGACGCAGCTGAGACAGGTTCTCCTCAAGCTGGGACAGTGTGGCCTGCAGACGCTCCATCTCCAGGCTGTACTTCTGCCCTGTCTCCCCCAGGTTACCCTTCAGAGCTGACACCTGAGGGGGGAGAGGGTGAGTCAGATAAAGAAAACTGTGGACGAGACAAACATGCATGCAGACATGTACACACGCAGATTAAATGTACACCCGATACACATTCTCATCAAATATACAGTGTGTGATTACAGAAAGGGAAATAAGAGAATCTGTGTGTACAAGTCAGGGGATGGTTGTTGTTGTTATAACACTGATCCCTACACTCTTTGAAAAACAAGGTGCTATCTAGATCCTTGATTGGGTTTTTTGGCTCCCCATAGGAGAACCCTTTGAAGAACCCTATTTTACCTGGAACCGAAAAGCATTCTCTTATAGGGACAACCAAAGAACCCTTTTGGAACCCTTTTTTCTGAGTGTATCTGACCCAACATCAAGGAAGGTGAGAGATATTTACAGTCAACAAGGATAACATGGATGGGGAAAGGAGCAAGGATCTCAGCGATACTGTAGTTGTGCAGGTTGTCCAGCTGTAGATCTGAGTGACAATATTCTAAGGTCCCCAGTACAACACAACCCCCAGTTGACAGGTTCCTAGTTCCTACCTGTTTGTGCAGACTCTCCAGCTCCACCTCCAGGTTCTGTAGGAATCGTTGTCTCTCCACCAGCTCACTCTGAGCCCCCCTCAGAGCCTCGTTAGACTCCTTCACTTCGCTCTGCACCGTCTCCAGCTGTAACACACCACACACACCTTCCTGAACGCACCGCACCCCCAGGTTACTGAAAACAGTAACACACCACACACACCTTCCTGAACGCACCGCACCCCCAGGTTACTGAAAACAGTAACACACCACACACACCTTCCTGAACGCACCGCACCCCCAGGTTACTGAAAACAGTAACACACCACACACGTTCCTGAACGCATCGCACCCCCAGGTTACTGAAAACAGTAACACACCACACACGTTCCTGAATGCACCGCACCCCCAGGTTACTGAAAACAGTAACACACCACACACACGTTCCTGAACGCACCGCACCCGCAGGTTACTGAAACCAGTAACACACCACACACACGATCCTGAACGCACCGCACCCCCAGGTTACTGAAAACATTAACACACCACACACACGTTCCTGAATGCACCGCACCCCCAGGTTACTGAAAACAGTAACACACCACACACACGTTCCTGAACGCACCGCACCCCCATGTTACTGAAAACAGTAACACACCACACACACATTCCTGAACGCACCACACCCCCTGGTTACTGAAAACAGTAACACACCACACAGGGACGCACCGCACCCCCAGGTTACTGAAACCAGTAACACACCACACACACGATCCTGAACGTACCGCACCCCCAGGTTACTGAAAACATTAACACACCACACACACGTTCCTGAATGCACCGCACCCCCAGGTTACTGAAAACAGTAACACACCACACACACGTTCCTGAACGCACCGCACCCCCATGTTACTGAAAACAGTAACACACCACACACACGTTCCTGAACGCACCACACCCCCAGGTTACTGAAAACAGTAACACACCACACAGGGACGCACCGCACCCCCAGGTTACTGAAAACAGTAACACACCACACACGTTCCTGAATGCACCGCACCCCCAGGTTACTGAAAACAGTAACACACCACACACACGTTCCTGAACGCACCGCACCCGCAGGTTACTGAAACCAGTAACACACCACACACACGATCCTGAACGCACCGCACCCCCAGGTTACTGAAAACATTAACACACCACACACACGTTCCTGAATGCACCGCACCCCCAGGTTACTGAAAACAGTAACACACCACACACACGTTCCTGAACGCACCGCACCCCCCATGTTACTGAAAACAGTAACACACCACACACACGTTCCTGAACGCACCACACCCCCAGGTTACTGAAAACAGTAACACACCACACAGGGACGCACCGCACCCCCAGGTTACTGAAACCAGTAACACACCACACACACGATCCTGAACGTACCGCACCCCCAGGTTACTGAAAACATTAACACACCACACACACGTTCCTGAATGCACCGCACCCCCAGGTTACTGAAAACAGTAACACACCACACACACGTTCCTGAACGCACCGCACCCCCATGTTACTGAAAACAGTAACACACCACACACACGTTCCTGAACGCACCACACCCCCAGGTTACTGAAAACAGTAACACACCACACAGGGACGCACCGCACCCCCAGGTTACTGAAAACAGTAACACACCACACACGTTCCTGAACACACCGCACCCCCAGGTTATTGAAAACAGTAACACACCACACACATTCCTGAACGCACCGCACCCCCAGGTTACTGAAAACAGTAACATTTTAACATTCTAGCAGACGCTCTTATCCAGAGCGAAAGGGCACATCGACAGATTTTTTATCTAGTCGGCTCGGGGATTAGAACCAGCGAGCTTTTGGTTACTGGCACAACGCTCTTACCCACTAAGCTACCTGCCGCCCCAAACAGTAACACACCACACACCTTCCTGAACGCACCGCACCCCCGGGTTACTGAAAACAGTAACACACCACACACACCTTCCTGAACGCACCGCACCCCCAGGTTACTGAAAACAGTAACACACCACACACGTTCCTGAATGCACCGCACCCCCAGGTTACTGAAAACAGTAACACACCACACACACGTTCCTGAACGCACCGCACCCGCAGGTTAATGAAACCAGTAACACACCACACACACGATCCTGAACGCACCGCACCCCCAGGTTACTGAAAACATTAACACACCACACACACGTTCCTGAACGCACCGCACCCCCAGGTTACTGAAAACAGTAACACACCACACACACGTTCCTGAACACACCGCACCCCCATGTTACTGAAAACAGTAACACACCACACACACGTTCCTGAACGCACCGCACCCCCAGGTTACTGAAAACAGTAACACACCACACAGGGACGCACCGCACCCCCAGGTTACTGAAAACAGTAACACACCACACACGTTCCTGAACACACCGCACCCCCAGGTTACTGAAAACAGTAACACACCACACACGTTCCTGAACGCACCGCACGCCCAGGTTACTGAAAACAGTAACATTTTAGCAGACGCTCTTATCCAGAGCGAAAGGGCACATCGACAGATTTTTCACCTAGTCGGCTCGGGGATTAGAACCAGCGACCTTTCGGTTACTGGCACAACACTCTTACCCACTAAGCTACCTGCCGCCCCAAACAGTAACACACCACACACGTTCCTGAACACACTGCACCCCCAGGTTACTGAGAACACTATGTTACTAGATACCAGACCTGGGTTCACCTGGCTATGATAACTATGATACGCCTGAATCGTAACTTGAGATACGCAATGGGAGATTTGCATGAACATTTGAGTCACACGCACTCATCTCATGATACAAATCAGCCCTGAGAGACTAAACTCTAGTGTCTAGTTTCTGGCATGGTGATGCACCCAGCCAGCCAGTCCCCCACTGAACTTATTGAGGTCCCCAGCCAGCCAGTCCCCCACTGACCTTCTTGAGGTCCCCAACCAGCCAGTACCCCACTGACCTTCTTGAGGTCCAAAACCAGCCAGTACCCCACTGACCTTCTTGAGGTCCCCAACCAGCCAGTCCCCCACTGATCTTCTTGAGGTCCCCAACCAGCCAGTACCCCACTGACCTTCCTGAGGTCCCCAGCCAGCCAGTCCCCCACTGACCTTCTTGAGGTACCACTGCTCAGCCTGGTCCTTGTTCTTCTTGATGATGCCCTCGTACTGAGTTCTGAGCTCTGACATTACTGTGCCCAGTTCAGGTCCACCACGGCCTGCGTCCACCTCCACGTTCACAGTCTGAGCAGCAATATAGCCCTTCATAGACTCCACCTCCTGCAGAGAGACAATTAATAAATCAATCAATCAGGGTTTGGAACTTTTTTCCAATCGTGTCGTTCTGAACAGAACCATAATTTTGCTCTGGGCATTTGTCCTACCTACGGAGGAGCAGCTTCTATGGAAGAACTTCCGAGAGTTGGCTTAACGTTGGACTAAGCTAATGTTAGCTAGCTAACAAGCGTGTGTGTGCAGAGCAGCACTAGAATTGCTGATTGGCTTAAAGCCGTGGTATATCAGACATTCTACACCCCACTGTGACAGCGAGAAGGTCAGTGAATTCTACACCACTCTGTGACAGAGAGAAATTCAGTGAATTCTACACACTACTGTGACAGAGAGAAGGTCAGTGAATTCTACACCCCACAGTAACCGAGAGAAGGTGATACCCTCTTCATTATTAACATCATCTCCATGCATACTTGATGGAGGTGAGATCAGGAAATGTGTATATCTAGCGCGTATAGCTCATATCTATCGAGTAGAGCCTTCTCTATATCGCTAGCTCTAGCTATATCTCGCGATATGAGAGCTCTAATCTCTCTCTAGTATCGCTAGTCTCTCTCTCTCTCTCTCTCTCTCTCTCTCTCTCTCTCCTCTCATCTCTCCTCTACTCCTCTCTCCTCATACACAACTTAATAGACTCAATATATGGCACCACTGCATTGGCACCACACCCAGCTATATAGACACACCGAGCACTTCTAGGGCCAGTCATCGACAACACACACACACAAACACACAAACACACACACTAGGAAAACAGGAAGGGATGAGCCAAGCACCCACACACACAGAGGCAGGCACGCACACGCACGCAGGCACACAGTCACACACACACAGACACACACACCTGCAGAAGCGTACAATCACATCATTCTGCCCCTTGCCACATACAAGTAGGACAAGGTGACTTATCCCTTCACACAGGCCTGTAGTGTGCCTATTCAGAGCAGAGCAACCAGTGAACCAATGCTGTTCTGAGAGGGGTCTCTGTGGACTTGTGTAAAAAATCTAAGACCTGAGCTACTTTCAGGCTTTCAGTTACTTAAGACAAAGGGACCTCCGGCGTTGGGTTTCAGAGTCCGAGCTGGTTCCTACTCCAAGCTTCCTAGGGGATGTAGAGTGATACCACCACTGGGGCAGAAATTAACAGAGGACCACTCTCTTCCCCTCCTTTATAGCTTCCCCGCTCAGACCACTTACTTGATTCAGTGGTCTTTCATTCAGTTCAGGCCATTCGGTCAATGGCCAGTAAGAAGAGGAAAGGGGACAGAAGACATCCTTGCCTCACTCTAGTCAGAGATATCTCTCCATACTAGGAGACCAGGGAAAAATCTGGAGTCTGGTTATGACCTGGCTATAACTAGGGACCCATAGTTTTTCCTGGCTTCGTAATGAAGTGAGGAAAAACTCCTGGCCCCTCCATCCCAGAGGTCAAAACTGGTTAAAATGACATCTTGATGACATCATTCCAACTAGTTTTGTCTTCCAGGATACCATCATCCTTAATAAGGAGAGTTGACCTCTCTCTAGTTTTTGACTTGTATGCTTTAGGATGAATAAAGCCCTGATCTACAGAGCTACCTCCTCTCACCTCCTCATGGTTCTTCTTGAGGAAGTAGAGTTCTTCCTTCAGGCTGTCCAGGTCTCCTTTCAGGGAAACAATGATCTGCGCATGGTCCACCTTGGCCTTCTTCAGGGCCAAACAGTCCCTCTCCACAGACTGGGACATGCACAGCTCGGTCTCCCACCTGGAGGAGGAGGAAGAGATTGAGATAGATTGAGAAGTGAGAGATTCTGAAGTGAGAGATTGTGAGAGCTTTGGTGACTAATATTTCTAAAGTATTCCATACAGATAGTATACAAACTTGAAACTTGAAAGAAGGGGTGGGGTGAGGGAGGAGGGGAAGGACTAACTGACACTTGCATACACATATGCACAAACACAGACTAAAACACACACACAAGCACACAGTCCCGCTATGCATTCAAATATGTGTCTACTAAGTGCAGCGTTCGTGTGGAGCCTAAACATACATCTGCAAACCACGCTTGAAGCGCTTTCACTTCAAACTGAACTGATGTTCAGTAGCAAACACAGAGAAACACGCTCACTTGATCCTGAAGTCGTCAGCTGCCAGTTTAGCATTGTCAATCTCCAGCATGAGGCGAGCGTTCTCCAGTGTCTTCTTCCTCACCTGAGAAAAGACAGGGATCAGGGTAAGCATTACCTTTCATATATCAACCACAAGGGTCTATTTCTGCTAATGTTAAATTCCTATTAAAGAGAGTCAGTGTGTTTACACCTGCACGGTAAACATGTACGCGTGTATGGCCACATGTGTGTACTGAGTGTGACACAGTGTCATTGTACAGTGAGAAAAGGGCATGGGAAGTTACATGGGGTGAGAGAGAGGGATCTTGGGAACGTAGGGATATTGGGAACCCACCTCCTCTTCCACCTGGTGGGCCTGGGTCATCATGGTTTGGAAGTCGTGACCTTTAGGGATGCGTTCAATCATTATTTTCTTGATCCTCAGCTCCAGGTCTGCATTGGATGTCTCCAGGGAGCGCACCTAAGAAGAAGCAGACTTATTATCCATTATCTTGCAAAGTGCTTGCTCAAGGGTACAACGACAGGATGGCATTCAGGATCAGAAGAGGACGGGCTCATTGTAATGGCTGGAATGGAATCAATGGAATGAAGTCAAACGTTGTTTCCATATGTTTGATGTGTTTGACTACATTCCATTTACTTCATTACAGCTATTACAATGAGCTCTTCCGCCTAAGCTCATCCCACCAGCCTCCTCTGTTCAGGATAGAGACACCAGCAACCGTCCGGTTGCTAGCTCACTCCCCACTAGATTTCCTGTCAGATCTAGGATTCGAACCAGCGACCCTCCGGTTGCTGAACCACTTCTCTAACCTCTACCCTCTAGGCTACCTTCCGCTCACCTTGTCCAGGTAGGTGGCCAGACGGTTGTTGAGGCCCTGCAGGGCCTCCTTCTCGTTGGCGTGGTTGCCCAGCTGCCCATTGAGGTTCAGGGTGACTGGAACTCCGTTCAGGTCATGGCTGACGGAGGCGGAGCGGGACAGGGGTCTGGCGGCAAAAGGCACAGCAGCTCTCGAGCGGGCACGGCTGCTGTCTCTCAGAGACAGGCTGGAGAAAGAGGGCTGATGGCCCACAGAGAAGCTCCGCACTGAGAAACTGGACGACATGACGGCTCTGTGTGGGAGATGACAAAGAGGAAGAAGACCTGACTAGAGGGTCGGAACGTTGTTGTAATAAACACACTTGTGTCCACTACACATGACTATTGTGGCCTCAAGGAATACGGCTCTAGTCTAGTGGTGCTTCAGCTCAGTTTAATATGGAAATCCTCATTATTAGAGGACAAAATTGATCAAGGTCACTACACCATTGATTGTTACAGTATGTAAATAATTATTTATGGCATATAAACCTTAGGTTAGGACCTAGCTGAGTATAGCAGGTCTGTCAACATACCTAATGATTTTAATCCAACTGAAACAATACATTCATGGGCTAAAAGGAACGGGTACACCACTGCTGTCTATTTAAACAAATAATCAGCCACAGAGTGATAAACGTCAATGGAGTACTATTTTTATATCTACTAGACTGTCTTTATGACTACTAAACTGTCTTTATGACTACTAGACTGTCTTTATGACTACTAGACTGTCTTTATGACTAATAAACTGTCTTTATGACTACTAGACTGTCTTTATGACTACTAAACTGTCTTTATGACTACTAAACTGTCTTTATGACTGCTAGACTGTCTTTATGACTACTAAACTGTCTTTATGACTACTAGACTGTCTTTATGACTACTAAACTGTCTTTATGACTACTAAACTGTCTTTATGACTACTAGACTGTCTTTATGACTACTAGACTGTCTTTATGACTACTAGACTATCTTTGTGACTACTAGACTGTCTTTGTGACTACTAGACTGTCTTTATGACTACTAGACTGTCTGAGACACTCAACAATTACTTAATCCCAGCTCACAGTACAATCGTCAACATGTAAATGACCAATCCGGTATCAGAAGATTTTCCAAGGAACTGTCAGAAAGCCCTTCATATCTTACATTACTATGTGGATAGTTATTGTTGTTATTTTCTTATTAAACAATAAGTTAGAAAGCTTGTTTTTAACTCTTGTCAATAACCAATGAGAGAAATCACAAAAACAAGAACAGACATGAGTTCAGAGCAAGGAGTTCAGAGTTATGTTCTGTCTAAAACACTAGTAGTATTGTTTAGTGTTTGCATGTCAAACAGACAGTCTCCACAGTCACCGCCCACTGGGCACAGACGTCAGTTCAACGTCTAGTTTGGATTTACATTTGGTTGAGTTGTCAGCTAACGTGAATTCAACGTGAAATCAACTAAAAATGTCACCTTGTCATTGGATTTAGGTTAAGAGTTGGGTGAAAAAATACAACATTCCCTTACGTTGAGGACTTTTTGCAAAATCAGTTTTCCACGTTAATTTAACGTCATTACATTGAGTTTTATGGTTAAAATGACGTGGAAACAATGTTGATTGAACCAGTGGGTGGGCTGTTCAATAGGGATTAGGGTTCATGTAAACCTCTCTCTGTCATTTAATACTCTGTGAGTTTCTCCCACCATCACAACGACAAAACATCAGAAAAAATAAAACATTCCTTTGTGACGTGATGAGTAGAGAAATATATAGAGATAAGGTGATTAAGGCACAAAAAACACAGGCTAAAAAACTGTAAAGTGGATCTTTAAATTATAATGTATAATCTTATAATCTTATGAATTACAATCTTTGATTATAACTTAGTTTTCAATATTTGTGTCATTATACATTTACTGTTTTCAAAATGAAATTGAATTACAGTTATTCAGACAAACTTGGTAATCTTTCATATTTTTTTAAATCTTTGATTTGTGTAAGATAGGACTAAAAATAAACAATTACATGAAACCACTTACCTGGATTCTATTCTTTTCAGTGAGATAGAGAGAGAGGGAGAGAGGGATCCTGGAGAATGCTGAGTCTACTGTGAGACTGATGCTACAGGTGCATTTATATGGAGGTGAGAAATGGGGAGGGGCCACATCTAAAAGTGGGTGAAGCCTCTGAAGCCTCTGTAAGACATTGGAGTCGTTGTCTCCTGCAGGTAGGTAGCGGTAACCTGAACTGTATTCAGGAGAGTAACATCAAATATTTTGAAAGAAGGAAAGAGAATAGGTGTAATCAAACAACAGAAGGCTATCTCAATATAGTTCTACTGTATGTGTGGCTATGTCAATAGAGTTCTACTATATGTGTGGCTATGTCAATAGAGTTATACTGTATGTGTGGCTATGTCAATATTGTTCTACTGTATGTGTGGCTATGTCAATATAGTTCTACTGTATGTGTGGCTATGTCAATATAGTTCTACTGTATGTGTGGCTATGTCAATATAGTTCTACTGTATGTGTGGCTATGTCAATATAGTTATACTGTATGTGTGGCTATGTCAATATAGTTCTACTGTATGTGTGGCTATGTCAATAGAGTTACATTTACATTTACATTTTAGTCATTTAGCAGACGCTCTTATCCAGAGCGACTTATATGAGCAATTAGGGTTAAGTGCCTTGCTTAAGGGCACATCGACAGATTTTTCACCTAGTCGGCTCGGGGATTAGAACCAGCGACCTTTCGGTTACTGGCACAACGCTCTTACCCACTAAGCTACCTGCCGCTCCAGAGTTCTACTGTATGTGTGGCTATGTCAATATAGTTCTACTGTATGTGTGGCTATGTCAATATAGTTATACTGTATGTGTGGCTATGTCAATATAGTTATACTGTATGTGTGGCTATGTCAATATAGTTCTACTGTATGTGTGGCTATGTCAATATAGTTCTACTGTATGTGTGGCTATGTCAATATAGTTATACTGTATGTGTGGCTATGTCAATAGAGTTCTACTGTATGTGTGGCTATGTCAATATAGTTCTACTGTATGTGTGGCTATGTCAATATAGTTCTACTGTATGTGTGGCTATGTCAATACAGTTCTACTGTATGTGTGGCTATGTCAATATAGTTCTACTGTATGTGTGGCTATGTCAATATAGTTCTACTGTATGTGTGGCTATGTCAATATAGTTCTACTGTATGTGTGGCTATGTCAATAGAGTTATACTGTATGTGTGGCTATGTCAATAGAGTTATACTGTATGTGTGGCTATGTCATTACTAAAGAGTTCTACTGTATGTGTGGCTATGTCAATAGAGTTCTACTGTATGTGTGGCTATGTCAATATAGTTCTACTGTATGTGTGGCTATGTCATTACTAAAGAGTTCTACTGTATGTGTGGCTATGTCATTACTAAAGAGTTCTACTGTATGTGTGGCTATGTCAATAGAGTTCTACTGTATGTGTGGCTATGTCAATATAGTTCTACTGTATGTGTGGCTATGTCAATATAGTTATACTGTATGTGTGGCTATGTCAATATAGTTCTACTGTATGTGTGGCTATATCAATATAGGTATACTGTATTACATTTACATTTTAGTCATTTAGCAGATGCTCTTATCCAGAGCGATTTACAGTTAGTGAGTGCATACATTATTACAATTTTTTCACACTGGCCCCCCATGGTAATCGAACACACAACCCTGACATTACAAACGCCATGCTCTACCAACTAAGCTACATCCCTGCCGGCCATTCCCTCCCCTACCCTGAACGACGCTGGGCCAATAGTGCGCCGCCCCATGGGTCTCCCGGTCGCGGCCGGCTACGACAGAGCCTGGATTCGAACCAGGATCTCTAGTGGCACAGCTAGCACTGCAATGCAGTGCCTTAGACCACTGCACCACTCGGGAGAGTCAATATGTCAGCAGGGGATCGAATACTTTTTTCCCTCACTGTATTCAGTGCATTCGGAAAAGTATTTAGACCCCTTGATTTTATCCACATTTTGTTACGTTACAGCCTTATTCAATTCATTGGTTAGTCATCATTATTGATGCTGTGATCAGAACAAGAGATGTTAGGACTGAGGAACAGTGTGAATATGTATGACCACTATACCCTCAGGATTACAGTCTCTGACCCTTCGGCATTCCCTCAGTTCTGGTCACTGTACTGTAAACATTCTGTACAGGTCACTCAGCCAGAGTCACACTCACATGAAGATCTAAAGATATTGATCTGGTTTGTTTTCATATTATTGCCTACAGTGCATTCGGAAAAGTATTCAGACCCCTTGATTTTATCCACATTTTGTTACGTTACAGCCTTATTCAAAGATGCCCCTTATACACAAAATGCCCCATAATGACGAAGTGAAAACAGGTTTTTATCATTTTTGCACATTTATAAAAAATTTAAAGATAGAAATACCTTATTTACATAAGTATTCAGACCCTTTGCTATAAGACTCGAAATTCAGCTCAGGTGCATCCTGTTTCCATTGATCATCCTTCTACAACTTCATTGGAGTCCACCTGATAAAAAAATTGATTGGACATGTCAGAGCAAAAACCAAGCCATGAGGTCGAAGGAATTGTCCGTAGAGCTCCGAGACAGGACTGTGTCGAGGCACAGATCTGGGGAAGGGTACCAAAACATTTCTGCAGCATTGAAGGTCCCCAAGAACACAGTGGCCTCCATCATTCTTAAATGGAAGACGTTTGGAACCACCAAGACTCTTCATAGAGCTGGCCGCCTGGCCAAACTGAGCAATCGGGGGAGAAGGGCCTTGGTCAGGGAGATGACCAAGAACCCGATGGTCACTCTGACAGAGCTCCAGAGTTCCTCTGTGGAGATGGGAGAACCTTCCGGAAGGACATCCATCTCTGCAGCACTCCACCAATCAGGCCTTTATGGTAGAATGGCCAGACGGAAGCCACTCCTCAGTAAAAGACACATGACAGCCCACTTGGAGTTTGCCAAAAGGCACCTAAAGGACTCTCAGACCATGAGAAACAAGATTCTCTGATCTGATGAAACCAAGATTGAACTCTTTGGCCTGAATTCCAAGCGTCACGTCTGGAGGAAACCTTGCACCATCCCTAAGGTGAAGCATATTGTTGGCAGCATCATGCTGTGAGGATGTTTTTCAGTGGCAGGGACTGGGAGACTAGTCAGGATCGAGGGAAAGATGCAAAGTACAGAGAGATCCTTGATGAAAACCTGCTCCAGAG